GCATTTGGGAACAGTGAGTAACCCAGTCTCAGTGGTCTTGCCCACTTGCTGGAACTTGACGCGGCTACTGTATCTTTGAGACATGCTCTTTCCTTGTGGTCCAGCCCCCAAGGTGTGCTGCACCTGCCACCCCAGCTGTGCACCCTCCAGTGACAGCTAAGTTGGGATGGCAGGTATTTCGGGACATTCTGCCAGCTCTTTCCTTGTGGTCCAGCCCCCAAGGTGTGCTGCACCTGCCACCCCAGCTGTGCACCCTCCAGTGACAGCTAAGTTGGGATGGCAGGTATTTCGGGACATTCTGCCAGCGTGCACGTGCCAAAGTCCATATTTGCAATACTGGTGACTCCTTTCCTCCTGTTTTTCAGTCTACCGAAAGGTTATTTTTTAATAATTTCTTGGCTATTAAATTCAAAATGAACTAAATATGCTAAATTTCCCAGCCCTACCCCATCCCGGCCTAAGCTCTATTCAAAACCAGGCCGAGCAAAGTGAAAGTTGTTTGGGGGATAGCCTGGATAGCCCCAGCTAGTCAGACCTCAGAAGCTAGGCAGGGTCAGGCCCTGGCTAGTATTTGGATGGGAGACCTCCAAGGAATACCAGGGTCGTGACGCAGAGGCAGGCAACAGCAAGCCACTTCTGAACGCCTCTTGCCTTGAAAACCCCATCAGCGGTCGCCATGAGTCAGGAATGACTCGACGGCCCTTTCCACCACCAAGCACCCCAAAAACCCTTGAAATTTGGACTCTGGACCTCCTACTGACCCCATAGGGCTTGCAGCAAATTCTGATTCCTTCCTGTAATCCACTGGTGAGCCCCCAGCGCCACCTCCCCGATTCTTTTCCCACTTAGCTGGCTGCAGGCACAGCTGAGGAACCTCCATCTGCAGGACTTTGAGTGCTGCACCCCTGGTTATTTCCCCCGAACGCTACCTGCGCCCAGGTCCTTGGCACTTGGGATGGAGACCTTCAGACAGCTCTCCCTGATGTTTCCGCCACTTAAGATCAGCCTGAAGGTGGAAGGGCAGCCACCAAGTGTGCATGCACAAGAGTAGCATGGGGTCCAGCGCATGCTAAGCATGCATCCCGCTGAAACGCTTCTTGCAAAGTTGTGTGCAATGATGCAAACCCCTTCCTCAGACAAATGGATACATACCTCTCCCGTTCCCCACTTCCATGTCAAGCCTTTGCTGGCAAGACAAGGCAAGACAAGCTGCCAGGTTCTAACCTGAGGCCCAAGAGTCAGCCTCTTTAGTTGCTGGCATTCAGGACTCGGCTTACCCTGTTGTCATGAAAAGGTCGTTTCAAAACTGAAACCCATCTCCGAACCACCAACAAAGACACATTTTTCCTTTACCCAGGGTAGAGATCAGTGTTTGATTTTTCACATAAACGGGAATGAGTTGCGTCCTCCGTACATGCTCAAAGGCTTGATGATGTCACATATGCCAAATGGCCGAACCTCAACACCGAAATGGTTCTCGGCGAAGTTTCGGTGAGCGGAGGCTCAGGTTCTCTTGGTTTCTTCAAGACACCAGACTGGTACGTTAAAACCAAATATCTCATATTGAGCTGGAGACCAAACCTGTCGACCATCAGTGTAAACTGGCTTGGGCTGCACAACAGGCTCAGTGGGCCGTGGAGACGTGGGGTGCATTGCTTCGCCATTGACCGAGGGGTGGGGGACCATTGTGTTGATTTCATTCGGTTGGAACTGTTCTGAGTTTTGGAGCATTGTGTATAAAAAAAAGTATATCTGTGTTAGGCTTAGCTTATTTGAGGTTGTAGAGTATAGAATCTGAGCTTGGGGCTAGAGCTGTATGAACATGAACGGCACAAATAACACGGATCGAAGCAGAATTGCCTCCCGCACGTTTCGCGTCTTTCTTTCGTGAGGGTTCCCAGCCACCGAGAACTCCCTGCCTTGATGAGAAAGAGAAGGCCGAAATAAGGATCTGTCTACAATAGACACTTTCTGAAATTCTTTTCTATTGGTCTCCCTCGGCGTGACCAAGAGACAGAAGGTTGGGAAACACCTTGGGAAGGACATGGAGGGGGGGGGGGGGAGTAAATTTAGGGTGGGGTTAAGTTGGTGCTAAAGCGAGGGCAAGGGGGAAGCAGGAACATAAGGGAAGGGGGATGGGAGAAGAACTGAAGCACTCTTGAGAATCTGCTCCTTACACGTGCAGCATTTCACAGGCTGTTAGCTCTGTTTTAATAATGAAGTTGTCAGCCTCCCAGTATGGCAAAGGCACGTGCAGTTATAAGGACCAGCATGTTCTGAAAATAACATGCGTACACTCTCACTACACCCAAGCTTTTGCGTAAGGAAAATTCTGTGATCAAGAGGAGACACCCCCCCCCCAAAAAAAATAGATGCACACCAAATCATTCATCTAGCCTGAAGTTGCTCAAATGCTTTATGAACTGGCTTCTGTGTGCACATGATTTGTAATGCGTGAGGAGCAACATGGCAAATGCAGGAAAAGTGCACATCCAGGGGGGTCTGGGAAAATTAAAAGGAAGTTTGGAGCCAGTGCTGAGTTAGTGTGAGCCAGCTCACAGTTTTTTAGCCTCCGGCTCACACATTTTTCTCTTAGGAAGGATGGCTCCAGAGCAAACTAATTTATGCAGCAGCCAAATATCTCGCTCACAACTTTAATGCCAGTAGCTCACAAAGTAGAGTTTTTGCTCACAAGACTCCACAACTTAGAGGGAGCATTGTTTGGGGCCCTCTACAGGTACTGGAGTATTTGCAGTTAATGTAGCACAAACAGCAAGTGTTCAAGCTCCCCAGGGCAGGCTCTCTCATGCATGCGCATAGCCCAGGGAAGCTCAGTTCTCCCCTGCCAAAACATCGCAACATATTACATGCAAACTTGAGGCAAAAAGGGCACATGAATACATGAAGCCGCCTTACACTGAATCAGACCCTTAGTTCATCAAGGTCCATCAGTATTGTCTACTCAGACTGGCAGCAGCTCTCCAGGGCCTCAGGCAGAGGTCCTTCCCATCACCTACTACCTGGTTCATTTGACTGGAGGTGCCGGGGATTGAACCAGGGACCTTCTGCAGGCAAAGCAGATGCTCTAGGACTGAGCCACTGCAACTGGCCCAAGTCCTTGCTTGTTGGTGCTGGGACCCTGGCCCCAACTCCCATGTTCTGACGTGCCCCCAGCCCCGGCCTAGATGGAGGGTTATGGGCTCTTAAGCCAAACTACATTCTGCAAGCTGCCTTCCCACCAGAATCCACAATCCATCTGTTCTCACACACAGTGGGGAATCTCTTGTGGAAAAACCCACCTTGCTGCCAACAAAGCTCTAGGTAATGATTATTCCAGATCTCCATGAGTGAGTTATTTCCTTGGCACTGCAATCCCACCACAATAGAATTTGAGGATTCCTTCCCAGAGTCAATGCAAATGAGGATATCGGACAAGGGATAAGTCAGTGGCTAACCACATACTTTGCGTGCACAAAGTCCCCGGTTCGAGCCCTGGCTAACTGAAAGATCGGGTAACAGGGAAAGACCTTTCTCTGTGCAAGACCCTAGGCGGCTGACAGGGCTAGAAAAACCAACAAGTAGCATAAGGCATCCTTGCAATTCATGTATGGCACATCTCACTATGGCACATCTCACCTTGGAATGCATGTGGAAGATCAAATCTGAATAATTCTCCCTCTCTCTCAAAAACTCATAAGGCATTCCTTCAGATCAGAACACGGGACCATGAGGTCCATCACCCTGTTTCCCATAGTGGCCAACCAGGTGCTTCCAGAAGGCCCCCTTACAGAGGCACAGAACCTCCCTTCCCGTTGTGAAAACACCCAGCTGGTGGTGTTCAGAGGTATGCTGCTTCTGAACACTTCCACCCAGCCATACTGGCTAATAACCATTGGTGAGCCTCTCCTCCATGTGTCTGTTGAATCCTCTTTTTATGCCACCCAAATTAGAGGTCAGCACTCTTCCCTTATGCTGGTGAGTCCCACAAATTCAGATGGAAATGTAGCATTTTACAAAGAAAGCTAGGCTAGAATCCTCCCCCCAAATATGCTAGAGTGTCTTTGCTAAAGAGTGGGACGCAAGGGGAGGGGCTGTGGAAAGGAAGGGCTACAGCTCAGTGGTAGAGTAGTTGCTTGGCATGTAGAAGGTCCCCGGTTCAATCACTGGCATCTCCATTTAAGAAGGGATCAAGTCGTAGGCAATGTTTCCTCTAAGCTGTGGAGCCTTGTGAGCAAAAATTCTACTTTGTGAGCTCCTGGCATTAAAGTTGTGAGCGAGTGATTTGGCTGCTGCATAAATTAGTTTGCTCTGGAGCCCTCCTTCCTGAGCAAAGACAAAAATCTGTGAGCTGGAGGTTAAAAAACTGTGAGCTAGCTCACACTAACTCAGCTTAGAGGGAACAGTGGTCATAGGTGGTGCGGAAGATCACTGCCTGAAACCCTGGAAAGCTGCTGCCGGTTGGAGTACAGGATACTGACCTGGACAGAACATTGGTCTGACTCGGTATCAGGCATGTGTTTGTGAGCATCTGCAGAAAAAAAATCTGGGAGGGAGAGCAAGGTCCATTAATCGTGACTGCACATCACTTGACTGCTTGCAGCCTTTATGTTAGTAAATTTAGGGTTTGGGGGGCAAGCGCCCCCTATATGCCCCGCCATGAGCACCCGAGCTGGGAGGGCTATTGCTCCCACTCTGAAGCAGCGTGGTCCTCCCGAGGTGAAAGAAAAGCCCCCTCCTCTTCAGCCTGGGCCCACTTTCCATAGTGACAGATAACACAACCATTTCACATACATCAAATAGTGTTTATTGCAGCTGAATCATGTGAAAAAGGCACCATGAAAATTAATAAAACTAGATGATTAATTTCTTCTAGATGACATGATGGGTTTTGGATGCCTTTATATACAAGTGACAGAATAGAACTTTTTTTTTTTTGAAGGAAAAAATAAGTCACTGAGGATCACCTCCCCCCACACACACACTCACCCCTTCAAAAAAATCTCATTTACTGGAAGATAGTTATATCTTTATATATCAGGACTGGCCAAATTTTTAGAAGATTTAAGTTGAAAACGGACATTTCAGTCTCTTCAACCATTTTTATAATCACCTTTCCTATTTCACTCTTGCCTAAAAAATTGGGTTTCGCTTTGCTTTGGACTTGCGCAGCTCAAGCAAACGAGTTTGCAACACTCTTCTTTAAAAACAAAATAATACTGTGAAACCACCACACTGGTACCGACAGACCAGATTGACTGCGCCCCCCCACCTTCAAAACCCAACCCCTTTGTGCTGTTCCCACTGGTGCTTGGATCGCTGACCGCTTGTGCTCGTCGGGACAGCAATAAAAATCGAATCCAGAATAAATTATTTCTCTATCTACATTTTCATTAAGAAACCATCTCTCGGGAAAGTGTACGGAAGAGTACGGGTCTGTGCTTGTAAGATCAGAGCTGCCGCCACCGAAATCAGAACATTTCGACCTTCGGCTTGCTGGCATTCGGAACTTTTAAAGTAAGTAGGAACATCTCAGGGCTGGGGAAGGAAAAAGGCCCGGGCTGCAGAGCTAGAGGGACAGAAGGAGTACAAAGGAAGGCCCTGCTAAAGCAAAGCCTTTTGATTCCCAATGATTTCCAGGGGGCGCAGTGCTTGAAGTGCATTGGAAATCAATAAGATTTTTAAAAGCTGAACTGCATCTGGATCGGGCCTTCATTCCAGACTCAATACATTTTCTCTACGGGCTCCGCTTTCCACGGAAAGCAGCTACGTTATTTTGCTGGCTCACTTAGAAACAGAAGGAAGGGTGGAAGGAGAGAAGCATGAAATGATCGGTGCCACCAAACCGGCCTCACGAGTGCCGGTGAAGGACGCCCAAAGGGAGAACTTCCTTGACATAGACTTGGGAGGGAAGGGGGCGCAGCGGCGTGGGGGCCCCCCCTCTCCTTCTCAACTGCATGCTTCCTTTATGGCATCAAGTATTATCTACAAAAAATAGGAAATTGGACGTCTCCCTTTCGCGTGGATTCCTAGAACAAAGCGGGATGGAACAGCGCCGAGGACGACAGGAGCGCTTTCTGGTTTTTCTTCTTTACAGCGACGACAAAAAAAGAAACGTTGACAGAAAAAGACGCTTTTTAGTGACTGCTGCTCTCGTCGAAAGACTCGACTCCTGAGTCTGTGGCTGTGGCGCTCAGCTTCTCCTGCCGCCTTCTCATGATCTCCTGCAATTCTGAGCTTCCGCTGGTAGCCTAGGAAATCAGAAGGGGGGGATGTGTGTGTGTTCATGTTTTCACATTAGTGGACAGTGCTGAGGCAAGACTTCAGGGATTCTCCGAAGAATACACCACACAACATTGAAAAATTCATAGTATGGTTCACTGCAGAGTTACGCCAGCCCCAGCGTGGTGACCGATGCCCTTAGGCTGGAGTAACTCTCCACAGGACTGCACTTTTAATCTCCCAGTGAAGCAGCATTCAGGAGTCAAGAGTGCCGCAAGTGTCCCAGTTCTACCACAGAGAGCTGAGCGACATCAAACAGCAGACTTAAGAAATGCAGTCTGCCCCACCTGGCGTGCACTTGCATTAGGGGTCTGCATCTGGTTTATCCAAGCTGAACCCCTCCCCCCGAAAAAACAACTTACTGGTAATTTTCGGGTATTTTTCCAGCCGGATATCAGCCAGGGTATTTATTTGGCTATCTGATACAGCCAATCCTGAAAAATCCTGAAAATAGTCGGGATTTTTGGGGGGCCGCTGGATAGCTGGTGTTAGAGGGTGTTTAAAGGGATCGCAGTCCCTGTAAAATCCTTCCGGGAGAAGCTGCAGCTTAGAGAAGGCATCCAAAGGGACCACAAACCCTTTAAATGCCTTCGGAGTTCAGCCGCAGCTTGCAAAAGGCATTGAAAGGAAACAATGGAACACGCAGGCACCTTCTTCTGGGGCCCATAGAATTGGACCCACTGGTCCAATCTTTTTGAAATGGGGGGGGTATAGGAGAGACATTAGCAGCTATGCTGCAAATCTGATGCCTCTAGCTCAAAAAATAGCCCCCACAGAGCTTCAGATAAGTTTTTCTTCTGTGGCTACTGTGTATGTGCATACAGCTGTGGAACGCATAAAACAGAAATTTGGAAAATCCATAAGAACATAAGACGAGCCCTGCTGTGGACAGTGCTGAGGCAAGACTTCAGGGATTCTCCGAAGAATACACCACACAACATTGAAAAATTCATTGTATGGTTCGCTGCAGAGTTACGCCAGCCCCAGCGTGGTAACCGATGCCCTTAGGCTAGAGTAACTCTCCACAGGACAGCACTTTTAATCTCCCAGTGAAGCAGCATTCAGGAGTCAAGAGTGCCGCAAGTGTCCCAGTTCTACCACAGAGAGCTGGACCTACATCGAACAGCAGACTTAAGAAATGCAGTCTGCCCCACCTGGCGTGCACTTGCATTAGGGGTCTGCATTTGGTTTATCCAAGCTGAACCCCTCCCCCCGAAAAAACAACTTACTGGTAATTTTCGGGTATTTTTCCAGCCGGATATCAGCCAGGGTATTTATTTGGCTATCTGATACAGCCAATCCTGAAAAATCCTGAAAATAGTCGGGATTTTTGGGGGGCCGCTGGATAGCTGGTGTTAGAGGGTGTTTAAAGGGATCGCAGTCCCTGTAAAATCCTTCCGGGAGAAGCTGCAGCTTAGAGAAGGCATCCAAAGGGACCACAAACCCTTTAAATGCCTTCGGAGTTCAGCCGCAGCTTGCAAAAGGCATTGAAAGGAAACAATGGAACACGCAGGCACCTTCTTCTGGGGCCCACAGAATTGGACCCACTGGTCCAGTCTTTTTGAAACGGGAGGGGGAGGGGTTTGAGGAGAGATATTAGCAGCTATGCTGCAAATCTGATGTCTCTAGCTCAAAAAATAGCCCCCATAGAGCCCCACATAAGTTTTTCTTCCGTGGCTACTGTGCATGTGCATACAGCTGTGGAACGCATAACACAGAAATTTGGAAAATCCATAAGGACATAAGACGAGCCCTGCTGGATCAGACCAGTGGTCCATCTAGTCTAGCATCCTGGCTCACACAGTGGCCAACCAGTTCCTCTGGACAGCCAGCAGAAGGGCATAGAAGCTGAGGTCTTCCCTCCAGTGTTGCCTCCTGGCTCTGGGATTCGGAGGCTTCGTGCTTCTGAATGTGGAGGTTACCCTCAGTCACCATGGCTAGTAGCCACTGATAAGACTTATCCTCCATGAGTCTATCTAACCCCTTTTAAAGCTGCTTATTCCTGTGAACATCACTACATCCTCTGGCAGCGAATTCCACATTTTAATCACTCTCTGTGTAAACTAGTATTTCCTTTTTGTCCGTCCAGTGGTTGTTTCACACATCAAACCCGTATGCACATACGAAATACACGTGATACCCCTGTTCAGACAACATGGCAGCTCTCCTTGCATTCTCTGCCATTAGTTTCCCAGGACACACAGGGACTTTACCACCGAGAAAGGCTGGCCTGCCAGTGAGGATGGGTGGAATAATTTCCTATAGAACTAAAGCTCTATGTATGGGGTGTTTAAAAAATATATGGGAGGCACATTCAGATACACATGCTAAGCGGTGCCATCCGGCCAGAGAGACACTGTGAGATTCTGCAGATCATATAGTTTTTCTTTTAGAAGAATTACCATGTGGGGTGATAGTGAATATGTGAATGGCCTGTAGTGATGTCACAACTTTCCACCTCCTTGGTCATTGTCATGGTTGGATGAGCATAGCTTGGCAGCACAGCACATATTTGGCTTGCAGTCAAGATTCAGCCCCTGGTAGCCCTGACCTGGATAGCCCAGGGAAACCCGACCTCGTCAGATCTCGGAAGCTAGACAGGGCCCCGGCTGACCCTGGCAAGTATTTGGATGGGAGACCTCCAGAGAATACCAGGGTCGGGAAGCAGAGGCAGGCTATCAAGCCACTTCTCTGAATGTCCTCTGTGCCCCAGTAGGAGTCGCCAGAGGTCGCCATGACTTCCAGACATGGGCACACACGCACGCATAAACACACACACAAATGTGTGTGTTTTGGGACCCCCCAGAAAAAGATTACATTCCTGGTATATTCCAATTAAAAGACCACAAGGAAAGACCTTTCTCTGCCCGAGACAACACCGGGCCACCAAATGAAACACTGGTCCAACTCAGGACAAAGGTCACTCCGTATGCTCTTGTGGTTTTTTGGAGGATGCAGTCTAGACATCTAAGTGAAGGGCTCAGAAGCCGATATTTCAGTTACAGACCGATTCCCAGTTAATTTGGTGTCTGCTGTCGACAACTGTGCCCTGCAAGATCTGCTTTGCTCGAGCGAAGAAGCAGCGTTGCACTCAACCGTTTCGGGAGATCTGGTTTTGCTTTGCGCTCCACGAAGCTTTGCTAAGAGAATGACGCCTTCAGCGGAACTGGTCGCATGAAATTCAGCAGATTTGCACGGAGGGACAGGCACTCTTAAATGTGCATTTAATTACACAATTAAGTACAATGCATCCCATTTCAATCTGATTAGCGAGCATTACCCAATAAGCTGCTTTGCTTTGGACTCAAGGGTTGCGCAAGCAGACTCTTGCATTATGAGAAAGAGGTTTTTGTCTCTCGCACATTTGTGGTTCCAGCTGATGCCAGAATGACGACTGTCCCGGGAACAGTCAGTCCTCAGGAGAAACGAAAGGGTATTATGAAACCAGTGAGGAGGTTGCTCTTCGCATAAACACACACACAAATGTGTGTGTTTTGGGACCCCCCAGAAAAAGATTACATTCCTGGTATATTCCAATTAAAAGACCACAAGGAAAGACCTTTCTCTGCCCGAGACAACACCGGGCCACCAAATGAAACACTGGTCCAACTCAGGACAAAGGTCACTCCGTATGCTCTTGTGGTTTTTGGGAGGATGCAGTCTAGACATCTAAGCGAAGGGCTCAGAAGCCGATATTTCAGTTACAGACCAATTCCCAGTTAATTTGGTGTCTGCTGTCGACAACTGTGCCCTGCAAGATCTGCTTTGCTCGAGCGAAGAAGCAGCGTTGCACTCAACCGTTTCGGGAGATCTGGTTTTGCTTTGCGCTCCACGAAGCTTTGCTAAGAGAATGACGCCTTCAGCGGAACTGGTCGCATGAAATTCAGCAGATTTGCACGGAGGGACAGGCACTCTTAAATGTGCATTTAATTACACAATTAAGTACAATGCATCCCATTTCAATCTGATTAGCGAGCATTACCCAATAAGCTGCTTTGCTTTGGACTCAAGGGTTGCGCAAGCAGACTCTTGCATTATGAGAAAGAGGTTTTTGTCTCTCGCGCATTTGTGGTTCCAACTGATGCCAGAATGATGACTGTCCCGGGAACAGTCAGTCCCCAGGATAGGCGGAAGGGGATTATGAAACCAGTGAGGAGGTTGCTCTTTGCATTCAGGGATTCTGAGAGCACAGACTACAGAAATCTCCAGAAGGGGTCCAGGCAAATGCCAGTTTTATTAGGAGAAATGTAAAAACACACTTCCAAACTCATTGTTTGGTGTCGTGGTTAAGTGCGCGGACTCTAATCTGGGAGAACCGGGTTTGATTCCCCACTCCTCCACTTGCAGCTGCTGGATGACCCTGGGCAAGCCATAGATCTGTCAGAGCTGTTCTCTCAAGGGCAGTCCTTGAGAGAGCTCTCTCAGCCCCACCTATCTTACAGGGTGTCTGTTGTGAGGAGGGGAAGGGAAAGGAGATTGTAAGCCGCTCTGAGACTCCTTCGGGTAGTGAACAGCGGGGTATAAATCCAATCTCTTCTTCATCATCTCATACGGGGCCATTACTCGCAAAGCGTTGCAGCTTTTCTTCTACGCAACGTATGTCAGAAAGAAGTGATTTCTTTCAGCTTTGCACAGGTGTCTGGGTGTCCAAGAGGTCAGAGAGAGCTGCAAGAGCGAGCCAGAAGTGTGGTGTTCGCTATGACTCAGCATTAATTAAAATTTTCAACTTTTGGGGGAGTATTTTTGCGTGTGTGTGTGTGTGCACCCATGTGCCTGGAAGTCATGACCACCTCTGGCCGCATTTGTGGTTCCAACTGATGCCAGAATGATGACTGTCCCGGGAACAGTCAGTCCCCAGGATAGGCGGAAGGGGATTATGAAACCAGTGAGGAGGTTGCTCTTTGCATTCAGGGATTCTGAGAGCACAGACTACAGAAATCTCCAGAAGGGGTCCAGGCAAATGCCAGTTTTATTAGGAGAAATGTAAAAACACACTTCCAAACTCATTGTTTGGTGTCGTGGTTAAGTGCGCGGACTCTAATCTGGGAGAACCGGGTTTGATTCCCCACTCCTCCACTTGCAGCTGCTGGATGACCATGGGCAAGCCATAGATCTGTCAGAGCTGTTCTCTCAAGGGCAGTCCTTGAGAGAGCTCTCTCAGCCCCACCTATCTTACAGGGTGTCTGTTGTGAGGAGGGGAAGGGAAAGGAGATTGTAAGCTGCTCTGAGACTCCTTCTGGTAGTGAACAGTGGGGTAGAAATCCAATCTCTTCTTCGTCATCTCATACGGGGCCATTACTCGCAAAGCGTTGCAGCTTTTCTTCTACGCAACGTATGTCAGAAAGAAGTGATTTCTTTCAGCTTTGCACAGGTGTCTGGGTGTCCAAGAGGTCAGAGAGAGCTGCAAGAGCGAGCCAGAAGTGTGGTGTTCGCTATGACTCAGCATTAATTAAAATTTTCAACTTTTGGGGGAGTATTTTTGCGTGTGTGTGTGTGTGCACCCATGTGCCTGGAAGTCATGACCACCTCTGGCAACTCCTACTGGGGCATGGAGGATGTTCAGAGAAGTAGCCTCTGCCTCCCGCCCCTGGTATTCTTTGGAGGTCTCCCATCCAAACACTTGCCCGGGTCAGCCCTGTCTAGCTTCCGAGATCTGACGAGGTCGGGATTGCCTGGGATATCCAGGTCAGGGCAAAATGTTCAACCCTTAAAAAAACCCCAACCTTTTGATTTCCCCACTCCCCCAGCACCTCCTAGGAACTGTAGTTCCATAAGGGGAAGGTAGGGCTCTGGAACAGGGCATGCTCTGCACCCTGATCGGACTACAAATCCCAAGATTCTTGAAGAAGGAAGGGTTCGGAAGGGCTGTGGCTCAGTGGAAGAGCCTCTGCTAAGCCCCCTTTCCCAGCAGCAAACATCTGTCTCAGCGTGTGTGAGTTGCAGGGAAGGGCGGGAGCGGGGCTGCTCACTTGGTGTGTGTGTGTGGGAGTGGTGGTCCCTGACTTATGTAAAGCCCCCCCCCCAAATTAAAAAATCCTGGCTATGGGCCTGACGGACATGGATGCCCCAGTGGTCTGATTCAGCAGAAGGCAGCTTTGTGTGTCACTCAGCAAGCTTCCATAATGGCACGAGCGGAGATTTCAGCCTGGGTCTCCCAGATGCTAGTCCAACATTCTAACCGCTGCACTGCACTGGGGCTCCTGGGCTAGACCATTACGGTGAAGACAGATTCTGTGTGTCACCGCTCTCACTTGCAGTTGCACTGCACCATGTTCCAGCATTATGCAAACTTCTCAGCTTCACTCCAGACTCACCAGGCTCCTCCCTGCCATTGCCCCACAGAGCGGCCAGCTGCTATAGGACACATGTACGGAAGAAGGAACCAGTTAGGAACATACCTCCAGTGCCGCTTTCTGAACAGTGACTTGGCTATAGACGCGAGCACCTTCCGGACACACCGTTTTGAGTTCTTCTTTGTTGAGGGAGAAGAGCTGGGCGCCAGTCAGAACGCCGAGGCTGTTGACGGTCCTGAAATATGAACAAATATACACTTTATAGAACAGTTCAGAGGACATAAAATACACTGCTTGGTAAAGAAAGCAATGTCTCACTTGCGTCACCTCCAAACATTGAAGCTTTATGCACCCACAGGTACAATGGGATGTAAGTGCATCTAAAGAACCAATAAATAATAGTTCACATAGCATCTTTTATTGCCTAAATTGTAGTGAAACTGATAGGAAAGCAAGTGTCCAAGTTGTGCTCTTGTTCGTTTATTAAAAAATACTCAAAATACTCAAAAAAGCCCACCAGCAGCTTGTGCAAGTCAAAAGGTGGTTTTGTGACCAGTAACTATGGCAGTATTTCTTCCCCCAATACATCTTTATGTACTTAATATATGAAGAAGAGAAGAAGAAGAGATTGGATTTATACCCTGCCTTTCACTCAGAGTCTCAGAGCTGCTTCTCCTTTCCCTTCCCCTCCCCCCCAACAGACACCCTGTGAGGTAGGTGGGGCTGAGAGAGCTCTTTCCAGAACTGCCTTTGAGAGAACAGCTCTGAAATAACTTGTGACTAACCAAAGGTCAAGCCAGCAGCTGCATGTGGAAGAGTTGGGAATCAAACCCATGCTCCTAACCACTACACCAAACAGGCTCTCTACCCCCCTACTTTTCTCCCCAATGAGGACCCAAAGCAGCTTACAAAATTCTCCCCTTCTCCATTTTATTCGTACAACAATCCTGTGGGGTAGGTTAGGTTGAAAGGATGTGACTGCCCCAAGGTCACCCAGCAAGTTCCCATGGGCAGGGCAGGGATCTGAACCTGGGTCCCCCAGATCCTTGTCTGACACTGACTCACTCTGCCTTTCTTTGGATCGAATACAGCCGCTGTTCTCATTCCTTTAAAAAAATATGGGAAGCAGCAGTTTTTGCAGCGCGAGACTCAGGTATCTTTCAAGAAATACCCAATTTGTGTCAAAACATCAGTGGGGAAGGGGGACAGGGGTCAAAACTGCACCTTTTATATCGCAGTCTCCATCTCCCTGTGCTTATCAAAGTGAAAGTCAAGTTTCAGTCTCCTTAAATCATTTTTTTAAAAAGCATTTATGATCGCCTTTCCTATTTAAATCCTGCAAAGGACTGCAGAAAAAAAACTTCTGGAAGGTTTTCCTTTGCAGCTTCAAAAACTGAATTTGGCAAGAGCGGGGAGTTTCAGATTTCCCAAAATGTCGACAAGCATTCAGAATAGAAGAAGAGAGATTGGATTTATACCCCGGCCTTCATTACCCAAGGGAGCCTCAGGCCACTGCCACACTGAGATTTTTGTCACTCATTTGTCCGTATTGCATTGGGTCCGTCCCCGTCTTTCCACATTTGTTTTGCTCCCTCTGGGACTACTAGAGAGAGCAAAACACATTTTTTTTTGGGGGGGGGGAACCCTGAAGCAGTAGGGACAAACGAGTGACGAAAATGACAATGCGAAAGTGGCCTCAGAGCAGTTTACAATCTCCTTCCCCTCCCCACAACAGATGCCCTGTGAGGTAGGTGGGGCTGAGAGAGCTCTATTGAGAACTGCCCTTGAGAGAAAAGCTCTGAGATAACTTGTGACTGACCCAAGGTCACACCAGCAGCTGCATGTGGAGGGGCAGGGAACCAAACCCAGTTCTCCCAGATTAGGGTCTGCGCTCCTAACCACTACACGGAACTGGCTCTCTGTAAGGATGTGAAACAGTGAGGGGAAAAAGAGTATAAATACCAGAAGAAAATGTCCACAGCCCACAAAGAAATTCTTTTAGATACAGAAACGATCCCATATTGGGTTTGGGGGTAACCTTCCGCTGCATATTTGATGGGATCGTTACTCCAGGCATAGGACGCTGGCTGGCAGACGGATCCCTGCTGGCTGCCTAACCTCCAACCTAAATCAAAGGATTCCTCCTCCAGACTCACACTGGGTTGAAGCCTTTGGCCTGGAGCCACATCTTGACGTCTTCAGGAGAGGAGTCGTAGTTGATATTGACCACCGGGACATTAGAGCGTGGCACATGGAACTTCTTTTGGGCGGCACTCCGGCCGATGGTGAGCCGGTGAATGAGCTCGTCCTGGACTTCCTCCATTTGAGATTTCCTTCCTAAAAAGAGAGAGAAAGAAATGGATTTCAAAGGACAACACTGCTTTAAGAAATAATTTCGAAGAGACGATTTCCCCGCCCCATTCGCCTAGCTTTCCCTTCCTTTCCTCCCGTCATTTCTAGCACTGGGTTTTCAATCTTGTGAGACAGCATCAACATCTCCAGGTCTTCTGTTTCGGCCATAATATATAGGTAAGGGCACTGCCAGATGGCAAAAGGAGCCTCAGAAGGCTTCCTGCCCACTTCACCTCTCCTGATGCTACGGCCAGCGGCCAGCCTTTTGAAGCCCCACTGGATTTCAGTGGGGAAATTAAGCATGTGTTCAAAGGGCACTGCCTACAGCGACCAGTGTCTCTACAGACCGCCAAAGATTTGCAGCCCGCCGAAGTCAAAGGGCTTAACTCAGCTCTAGGGCTGTGCTGCCAATAATTCTAGGAGTGCAAAACCCGCCTTTGTATTGGCCTTCTAGAACCAGCCCCTCCAACACCAGCAATCCAACTCAACAGCATAATGCTTATCGCCTTCTGAATCCCCAAGATGGTTCTCTCCCCTGCTCATGCGTTATCTCACGACCACCTTGCGAGGCTGAGAGTAACCAGCCAAAGGTTACCCAGTGAGCTTCAGACAAAATTCAACCTAATATCAATTCTACTGGAGCTAGCAGCCTACCTGGGCTTTAAGAACAAGGTGAAGGACCACAGATAGCAGAGAACCCTGGTTCACTGGAGGTCCAGCCCAGCCCAGCCCAGCCCCCGGTGATGGGTGAAATTTTAATGGAATACAGCCCACAGGCCATTTGCGCCCATCAGTGATCATATGGACTAGAGACTTATTGTAAAAACAAGAGCTGAAAGCCTCTCGACACCATTTTTGATGACAGACTTCTGGATGCCAGATTCTGGTAAGATACCCGGAACACACACCGTCTTGGACGTTCCCCTCACAAATGGGTCTCCTCGCTCCTGCATTTGTAATCCTCCACCACTTTCGCTCATTTCCACAGAGGTATTTGCAGTCCCAGGAGCAAAAACGCAGTTTGCTCCCTCTTGTGATGCAGCAAGGGACTTCCGGGAAACGGGGAAGTCTGATGCTGCACCGCAAGAGAGGACAAACTGTGTTTTTGGCCCCTCGACTGCAAAAACCTCTGTGGAAACTAAAGTGGTGGACGAATACCAACGCAGGAGCAGGGAGACCCGTTTATGCAGAAAACGTCTTGGTTCTCCTAAGTGACCTTTTTAAAAAACGAAAGAGAAAAAGAGACTTACGATCAATAGGTGGCGGTTTCTGCCTTTGGGACTCTCGCCCGCTATCGCTGGAAGTGCTGCTCTGGCGGCTGATGGCTCCAGGGACCTTTGGCACCGGAACGGGGAGAGGCGCTGGCACGCTGGGGGGCAGAGGGACGGGGACTGGTGTCTGAGGTGGGGACGGGGCGACAGGAGTGCAGTCTGGCTGCTTTGGAACAAAGTCTGTCCTTTGTTTCTGCAGGTGCGGAAAGAGATGTTAAGTTTTCACATAGACCGAAGAGTTCTCCGAGGTTTCGGCGGTGAGACTAAACCTCCTGCCAGACAGTGCTCATTTGTTTTACACACATCAGTGGTGCATGACCCCACAAAGACACAGTCAAGGATACATTTCCACAGGTGGAAAGAGAAAAATCCAAACCATCAATTATTTTCTCCCAAAACCCTTTAAAAACAAACGAACAACCCCCCCCCCCCCATGTTATTTTTAATGCATTAGCAGTGTTTCCCAAGTCTGGCTATTTCCCTTTCAATTTTATTAAACTACAGTCCACGACCAGATCCAGTTGACAAAAATGAACACTGTTCAGGTATACAGGTTAAAAATGCCAGTTAAAATACAGACATAGAAAATTTAACATAGATCTAAATAAAATTATATCAAAAAGAGAAAAATAGATTATAAAATACATAACAAAGCATCATAGGTGACCATTTTTTAAATTTAAACCAAGAAATTTAAGAGGAACAAGAGCTGTATGTCTGGGTCCTGTCTACCTGAGGGACCGCCTTTCCCCGTATGTTCCCCTGAGGGCACTGAGATCCGAGTTGCAAAATCGCTTGGTCCCCCCTGGCCCGAGGGACGCTAAGTTAACATCGTCAAGAACTAGGGCATTTTCCCAAGCTGCACCGGTACTATGGAATCAGCTCCCAAACAAAATCCGAGCTCTGCGGGATCTTTACCAATTCCATAGAGCGATAAAGACCGAGCTGTTCCGGCAGGCGTTTCAATAGCTCAGACCACACTGACGGTTCTAGCACTTTATAACAGAAAGCCACCACGTCTTAATCTCAATTTTAATAAGTGTATTTGGATATTTTATTGACTGTATTGTTTTAGACTTATATTGTATTAATTGTTATGTTGGTTTTAAACTACTGTAAGCCGCCCTGAGCCGCCTTGTCGGGAGGGCGGGGTAAAACTCTAATAAATAAATAAATAAATAATATGACAGACCTCCTGAAGAAAACTAAGTCAAGGCTTAAAAGAGGCAGGACTGAAATTTACTGCGCACTTTAATCACCTGAGCACAAAATCTAGCCATTAGCTTAGTAATAACTATCATTTCATCTGTTCATAATTTATCTAAACGTGTATTATCCACCCCTGCCCCTGCTGTCTACATGGGAAAAAATGGTCTTATCTTGAATGTGTTTATAGAGGGGGCAACGGAAAAATCGAGACCCTCTAGGGCAGGGGTCCCCAACACAGTGGCCTGGGGGTGCCACTGCACCCTCCAACGTATTTCCTGGCGACCAGCAGGGCTATTTTTGGGTAGGAACGCACAGACAGAGTTCTGGCTGGCTCCTGAGTTGGCCACGCCCAGCAGGAACTCATTAGCATAACAGGCCACACCCAACAGCAGACACTCATTAGGATTGGCTACACTAGGGGAGTGTGGCCTAACATGCAAAGGAGTTCCTGCTACAAAAAAGCCCTGGGTTTTTACAACAAACAAGGTAAATAGAATAACAAGCAAAAGGTGGGTGTGGCTGGATGAGCACACTTCTGGTAACATGGGGGTGCGGCCTAATGTGCTAATGAGCTGTGCTGTCAGGGGTGTGGCCCAACATGCTAATGAGTTCCTCTTGTTGGGTGTGGCTTATTATGCTAATGAGTTCCTGCTGGGCTTTTTCTACAAAAAAAGCCTTGCGACCACCAAGTGGGCAGGGCCAAGTGGGCTCCCGTTGGGTGGGGATTCTGATCGTCTGCTGCATCGGCGATCTGATGGGCTGTGCAGATTCAAACAGTGTTTTGGCAACAGCTGCCACTACCATGTTGGTTTTACTCATTCTCAGATCCCTATTTCTCAGTGTTTCTTTTAAAAATTACTTCTCTTTTTCCCTGTACTTGGGCTTCCTCCGTGTGTGTGGCTGGTGTCGCCTCCCACAGAGGCCGTGTTGTAGTCGTGCCCACCAGCCTGTGTCAGAATTGCAGAGGTGCCCACAGGCTCAGAAAGGCTGGGGACCCCCGGACAAAGGTGTTTCTCTCCTCAGAAGCTATGTTAAGATATAGGGGGGGAAATGACTGTGTTAGATACTAGCACAGTGCGGTAGTTCTTTAACAGTGTAATCCTAAATTACTCCAGTCTAAATCCATTGAAATGAGTGAGGTATGAAATGAATGGGCTTAGACTAGGGGTGTCAAATATAAGGCCCGGGGGCCGGAACTGGCCCATCTAGGGCTCTCATGCAGCCCGTGAGCAACTAGAACAAGGGAGGGAACAGAAGACTGCACAGGGGGAGTGGGTGGAGCCACTCCGATTGTGGCTTCAGCGTGGCAGAACAGCCTCATCTGCAGCAGTCAAGCAGTGAGGGAACGTCTGCCCAGGGCTGCACCGCTGGTGTTCCACTGCCCACATGGGTTTTCCCTTGAACCCCTTCCCAGCCCATGGGGGCTTGCAGTGAGGATACAACAACATGGAGCGAACCAGCTGTTGTCCTTTATATAGTTTATGTCTCCAGTACCTGGCATCATGTTTTATGGCACACGTGGCCCGGTCTGACAAAGTGTCGTTTATGTCAGATCTGGCCCTCATAAGAAATGAGTTTGACACTACCGGCTTAGACTGAAGTAACTCTCCTTAGAATTGCTAAGTGCGGTGAAAATCAGGTCTTCATTAGAACATAAGAACATCAGAGAAGCCATGTTGGACCGGGCCAATGGCCCATCCAGGCCAACACTCTGTGCCACATAGTGGCCAAAACCCAGGGGCCATCAGGACGTCCACCAGCGGGGTCAGAACTCCAGAAGCCCTCCCACTCTTGCCCCCCAAGCACCAAGAATACAGAGCATCACTGCCTTGGACAGAGTACTCCCTCTATACCTTGTGGCTAACAGACAATGATGGACCTCTTCATTTTCTGTAAGTTTGATGCTTTATTAAAATCTCCTTGTAAGCAAACCTGGATCCTGCATATCATTTCCTTGGGATTTCTGCAAAACCTGGGGCTCCTGGCCAGAGTCCCAAACAGGTAGCTGTTTTGTAATGATGGGCTGTTAATGATGCCAAGAAGTTTTTTTTGTTTTGCTGTGTCTCCAGCCACATCAAGTTCAGAGAGAAAAGGAAAAAAAGGAGGACGTCCAGCTGCAGACGTTCATTCTGCAGCTAGGTTCTTGGATGCTTACTGAATGCACAAAGCTGCCTTATACCAAGTCTCATTAGTATAAAAAAGTCAGTACTGTTCGCTCAGGCGGCCTTCTGGAGTAGCTCAACTCCAACTGGTTGGTGAATTCAGACACCAATTAGTCCAAACTGGTTTAGAAACCCCAGCGCAGTGCCAACCGACAATCGGAAGCATGTTAGACGCTAGCATTTAGATGTTACAACCAATGTTCCCGCTAAGCTGTGGGGTCTTGTGAGCAACAATTCTACTTTGTGAGCGGCTGGCATTCAAGTTGTGAGCGAGCGATTGGGCTGCTGCATAAATTAGCTTGCTCTGGAGCCATCCTTCCTGAGCTAAGACAAAAAATGTGTGAGCTGGTTTAGAAACCCCAGCGCAGTGCCAACCGACAATCGGAAGCATGTTAGACGCCAGCATTTAGATGTTACAACTAACCAAGGTTTGATCAAGGCACACTTTATAAGCCATGGCTAGGATCCAAAAGGATTTCTGCCCACTGGATTTCCACCACACAGCATGACTTTCTCGCATGCCCTGTCTCCACTGCAGTCCGGAATGCTACTTGGAGGGAACAGGGGAGCCAGAGAACACAATTTCACAGGCTGTTTTGGGCTGCAGTGGGAGGGGGGAGGTGTCAACCGACAATCGGAAGCATGTTAGACGCCAGCATTTAGATGCCAGAGAACACAATTTCACAGGCTGTTTTGGGCTGCAGTGGGAGGGGGGAGGTGAGAAAGGTGCGCTCCGTGGGGAGACGTCCTTCCATCTGTGGAAACGCTCTGTTGGATCCAACCCACTGGTTTAAACCTTACCGCAATGCCTGAACACAGCCAATGGTTGCAAAGCACACTGTAATTCTGTGGCATTAAAACTGAAGGTTAAAAAGACACCTAACACTACACACTGTGGCAAGCTTATTCTCCCTGCCATTGTGGTTAGCAACTGAGCAGGTGACCTCCACCTCGGGGGGGGGGACGGGATGGGGGGGACAGTGTCTTGCTTCCAAAGTTGCTAGCCTAGAGATCAGAAGGTCCCATGGTAGGTCTGCCACTTCCCTGCTGGGGGTGAGGGATGCCCCACCTCCCAGCGCTCATTTCCTGCATTTTCTCCTCCAGCCAGTGGGAGGGAAAAAATCTAAAAAAATAAAAATAAAAAATCACCATCAGCAACACTGTGATGTCACTTCCACAGAACACCTGGAAGTGATGTCACACCTCTTTAGGAATTGCCAGAAACGCTGAAAAAACCACAGTGTTTCTAGCGATTCCTAGAGTGGACTGACATCACTTCCAGGTTTCCCCCAGATGTGATGTTGCACCATTGTTTGGCAGTGCCCCTCATGTCTCCCGCCACCCCCGACTCCCACCGGTTGCCAGCCCATGTCTGGAAGCTCTGCTCCACCATGGCAAAAGGCTTAAGGCGTTCCCTTTCTGATGCAGCAGCAGCAATCAAGAGCTGGTGCAAACTGCGAAGAGGGAAATGAAAAGCTGGGTTACATCTGTTTTAGATGCCCTTCAGTCAGCATGGTTACAGCAGCTCCAACAGTTCCTCCCGTGCCAAGCTTGAACTCAAAAGGGCGTTGGGCACACATGATTTCCCTGAATCCCAGCCGCTGTTCTAGAGATTGGGTGCCTCCTCTGGGGCAAAGCTTGCTCTGCCTTAACCCAATGGGGTGTTCCACACCAGGCAGGCCTTCAGAGCAGAAACACTACTGGGGAAGCTAAAGGAAACATCTCTCCTTGCTTCACACCAGGATTTTCATATATCCCAACCAACTTTTCCATGCTCCCCTCCTGCCCCAGACCACGCACACAGGCTGAGATCCTGACACCA